CACGCATAATAATACGCGTAATTGTAAAAATAACTGTTCGGTCAAAAGACCATATATAGACTTTAAAGTAACGCATAAGATTCCAATATTCATCCTTCATGTATAGAATTCCAAATTAAATCTATATTGAAACAGTATAGTACACGAATAAGTTAACCACTCGGGAATATTTTGTTCAAAAGTGTCCTTGTTTCAAAAATCATTTAAACGATTATGCGAAAATCTTGCCATTTTTTACAGTAAGTAAAGATATTATGAATATGTTAACCACTCGGAAATGCTCAAGAATATTTTGTTCAAAGTGTTACGCGAAAGTCTATGCCATATAGAGTTATCAGTATTTGTCCATCTATTGATTGTTGCTAAATTCTGATACCGTTTTATAACAGCGTTATATGTTTTATGTAGCGGAGGGGTTACTTTCAAAATTGTGGCTGCCTGTTCGTCTAAAGGAGTATCATTAGCTGTGGTCGCTGCTAATTGACTGGTCAGTTGTTGTCTTGCGTTACTGTCTGTTTGGTTAAGACCGCCTCGTCTTTCTATTGTATTAGTGACGGAATAAAAGATACTAAATTAGTAAACTTGGAAGGAACAACGGGGTGTAAGTAACGAGCTTTTGTGTTTTGTGCCATATACTGTCTATGACCATTGCGTGATAAGAGGTCAGCCTCATTATTTTTAGATCCTGGTATATACTCCAACCTGATTGAAAAATTGCCGTGAATTTGTGCCATGTACATGTTAGCGATTATACTATTAACTATAGAATTTTTACTAAATTCTGAATAAAAGGCCTCATCATTGGCCTGATTATCTGTCCATAATATCAAGCGTTTACGGGTCCATATTGGTGAAAAAGTGAGGATCGTGATTAGGCTTGTTAATAATTCATGGATTTGGATATTATAAATTATTATATCAATCTGCCTAGCCCAATTAAATATTGTAAAATAAGGACCAAATATCGCACTGCCACCTAAATTAGAGGCGTCAGTAAATAAATTATGTATATTGGGTTGAATCCATTCTTGTTCCTCCATTAAATAAACGCCTGACTATGTTGGGAATGTTTCAAGCCACCAAGATATATCAGCTTTTATTTGACTTGATATTTTAATGTGATGCTTTGAACTACCTTCAATTGCTTTGATAAAGCATTGTACGAATAGCCTGCCTTGTGGTATTATTTGGCAGATCCACATCAAAGACCCAATTAACGATTGCATTTTCTTCTTATAACACCATTTCTTTTGACTTCATTCTGAAAGTATTGCCATAATTTTTTCTTTCTTAGATTCTGG